CCTGGGTGGCTCAGTCGTTAAGCGTCTGCCTTCGGCTCGGGTCGTGATCCCAGTGTCCTGGGATCGAGCCCCACATCGGGCTCCCTGCTCCGCGGGGAAGCCTGCTTCTCCCCTCCTTCTCCCCCTGCTTGTGTTCCCTCTCTTGCTGTGTCTCTCTCTGTCAAATAAATAAATAAAATCTTTAAAAAAAAAAAAAAGAAATCTTTGCATTGTATTCTAAATATATAATATGCAATAAAATAGATAAGCATTAATATTTAAACAATCTCCCATTTTTTATCTAATTTTTATTTTTGCTGATATATTTTAAGATAAATTCCAGATATCAGATTATTTTTAGTGTACATTTATTTTTTAGTGTATCATTATTTTTAGTGTACATCTATTTTTTTAATGGCTTTTTTTTTTTTTAATCACAGTGTGCTCTTGGATTTTTCAAATCAGTATTGCTTTTGGAGTTTTTTTTAACAGTTATTTATTGGTGCATCTGAAAAGTCTGTAGTCAGTTAACACTTCAGTCAGGTCTTTTCCAATTATTTCAGTGGGTGCATCACCCTCTTTACTGACATGCTTTCAAAGTACAAGTATGGAGTAGACAGAGTCATGACTGAGAAATTATGGGGAAACTCTAGTGGAAGAGGATTTAGGATTGAAGAAGAGCCGGTGGTCACGCCAGGGCTGGCAGCCAGCAGACAAGAGTCTTGGACCTGAAATGTTATAGTTTACCAGCAGAAAGCTATTCCGGGACAGTACCATATTTTACATGTGTTACACATGTTTTGATAAAACTGAAGCATTGTTGGTGAAAGGATTATACTGTTTCTCTTTCTAGGTCTTTCTGGAACCTTTTGCTATATTTTTATTTCTTTTCATTCATTCATACAAGTATCCTTGAGTGCCCACTACGTCCCAGGCAGCCCTGTAGGTAAAAACCTCAGCCATCAAGGAGTGTACATTCTGTGTATAGAGTTAGGAAATAAGATGAAAAAAGCAAAATATATGATATATAAGATAGGATATATAAGTGACGTGGAGAAAATAAATGATCTGTAAGATTCAAGTGGTGTGGAGAAAAATACAGTATGGAAAAGTAATAGGGAATGTTGAGGGAGTGGGTTACAATTTTTTAAAATATGGCCAAGGCCAGTCTTCTCATTGAGAAGATCACATTTTGAGTAAACACCTGAAGGCGGTAGGGGACTGAGCTATGCCAAAGTCTAGGGAAAAGTATTAGGCAGAGGGAGCACCAAGCTGTAAAGAGCCTCAGGCAGAAATCTGCCTGCCGGTCTGGGGCCAGGAAGGAGGTCAGTGTGTTCTTAGAGTAGTGACTTAGGGAAAGAGGAATAACAGGTGAGGACCGGGAGTGATGAAGGCCTTTGTAAGAACTTTGGCTTTTACAGACAGGTGATGTAGAAACCATTGGCAAGTTCTGGGCCTGAGTGGCATCATCTAATTTGCATTTTAACAGGCTCCCTCTGGCTGCTGTGGTGAGAATAGACTGAAGGGGGCAAAGGCAGAAATAGGAAGATTAGTTAGGAGGCCATTTTAATAACCCAGGTGAAGAGATAGTGGCTTGGGCCATAGTAATAGCAGCAGGGGTTGGATTCTAGATGTATTCTGAAGGTAGTGCCAGCAGGATTTACTGTCCGATTCAACATGGGATGTGAGAGGAACAACCTTTGCAGAGGGCTTAGTAGAGCTTTGTGGGTTATTCAAAGTTGGCAGTTGTTCCCACATTGCTATATGTATGTGCATACTAGTGGTCAGTTTCACTGTGACTGGATTTAGAAACATCACATATAAAGCAATATTAACAAGCCATAAACTTAATGAATAAGAGAAACAATACAATAAAAAGACAGCCTTCAGGGCAGAAATCAAAACAGCAGTCGATCATAGGGTTCTCATGTATGTTCCCAACTTCACTTACTTTTTTGTGTCCTTTAATTCTCAGTTCTGTCCTAGAATAGTCAATAGGCATTTTCTACAAAATTTATTCCAAGTGTAATTCTCACAAACTATTCCTCTGCCACAGTCAGGCTCTTGTATGTAGATGACTCACTCATAATCTCACTCTTTACTGAGCTCCCTCTTACTTACCCCTTCAGAATCTTCCACACGTAGCATGCTAAATGGTAGGAAATGTAATTAACTTTGTTATTCAGAGACGTTAACTGATGCAGAGTAGGGTATCCCTGCTTTTAAGAAAGAATCTAAGTCTGGTTCTTTAGTTTTTTAAAATATAATTCAGTTTTTGATGTGTTTATCGGTTATCTAAAGTGACTAGATTTCCCTTTATCAGCCACACAAAATCTTTATTCCAGGCTTTCATCAGAACAAAAGAGCTATCTCAAAAACTACTGAAGCCTGAAACTTTCAAGGGAGAGAGGTTATAGAACAGACTAGATGATACTCATTTATTTCTTCATCCATTCATTTAATAAATATTTACTGAGCACCTGCTAATGGCCAGGCATTGGAAATAAAACAGTGAGCAAGGCAGACAATGCCCTGGCCCTGCCTCACAGACCTTATAGTCCTTGTGTTCTATATTTCTTTTGCCATTAAATTGGGCAAACAGAAAGTAATCTTAGGAAAGCTAATATTATAAAATGATTAAAATATGAGCTTTGTGACCTTAGGTAAGTGATTGAACCATTCTGAGCCTCAGTTTCTTCATCTATAAAATGGTACCTATATTACAGCCTTGTTAAGAGAATTAAATATGTGTAAAGTGCTTTAGCACAGCATTTATTTAAGGTTAATTATTTTATTCTTAAAGCCTATTTGGACCCAATAACAAATGAAATAGTTTTATGAAACAAATTCTAAAAGTATGGACTGAAAGGGGTGCCTGGGTGGCTCAGTTAAGCATCTGCCTCTAGCTCAGGTCATGATTTCTGGGTCCTGGGATTGAGCCCTGTGTCAGGCTTCCTGCTCAGCAGGGAGTCTGCTTCTCCCTCTGCCCCTCCCTTTCCCCCTGCTCATGCTCTCTCTCTCAAATAAATCTTGAAAAAAAAAAAAAAGTATGGATTGAAAAAAGAAATTCTCACACACACACACACACACACACACACATACATACACACACCTCTGAGAGCACCTGACTTTACCTCAGATCTAGAAAGGCTTTGCTGAGATCGTGTTTGAGGAAAAGTCTGGAAGTGGGTGAAAGTATTAAGGAATCCATCTGGGAGGATTCTTATGACACTGATCTCCCTCACCAGATGCTGGGCTTTTGGAGCCAGGGTCTGTCTCTCCTTTAGTCTAGTAACCCTACCATGGGATTATGGTAAACACCAAGGATATCTTTGTTGAGTAGATCAACTAGAGACTTTCATGGCAACTACTAGAAGAGATGTTACCACCCTGGGTTGTTGGAACCTGTCCAGGCCTAGGTTTCTTTCACCTGACCACTGCAGCTTCATGAGCCCCTTCCTGAATCCATGGATCTGGATCAGATTCAGAGGAGGCAGGGCAAGGTGCTACAGTTGTTGCTTCTGAGGATGCTTAAGCTGTGTTATAAGGGGCATTTGGCTACTCTGGTCAATTCCTGGGCAGTTTCTTGGCAATGTTTCCTCAATTGTGCGAATCCCCACCTGAATGTCCACTTCCTAAGTCTTCTTCCTCAGCATATTCCTGTCCCTTCTTGTCCCCAAACACTGAACAACCACCTTACTTAGAATCAGACATACTTAAAACCTTTGTGTTTGGATTCTTCCTTCAAATGCCTTGCTGATCCTTGGTTGACTAAAATAAGGAATGTTTTTCTGTGTTTGAATTAATTCATTTGGTTTTTTAAACAGGCTCTCTAATTGAACAGCTAACTACAGAAAAATATGAGTGCATGGTGTGCTGTGAATTGGTTCGCGTCACAGCACCAGTGTGGAGTTGTCAGAGCTGTTACCATGTGTTTCATTTGAACTGCATAAAGAAATGGGCACGGTCTCCAGCATCTCAAGCAGGTCAGTCATTTCTCTCTTCTGAATAGTTATTCTCACTCATTTGATATATTCAGGTTTTAAACTTAGCTTTTTTTTTTTT